TGTGAATTTTGCTTCTTTTGATCGTACAATTATGTATGTTAACTAATTAGTTAAGAGTCAATAATGAACTTTATGAAATTGTCTAGTGAGTTTATTTTGAATGAGATTTAAATGATATTGAGTTCTATTTCCAAATGTTTGATCATATCCACGCCCACTCTCAACTTTCTTTTCTTTCTCGTATCTCCGATACAACGTGTGTTGATGTGTTTTGGATAAGAGGCGTGATAATATGAATAATGTCCGGATTTCATTGAAATTCTTATCGACACAGTGACAATCAGAAGAACTGGAAGAAGAGGATTGTATATTTCAACTGCACTTTCAGGAAGTTATTATCGTTACATGTATCCGAATGTCATTCTTCACTTATACATTGGCTGTTCCTTTTTTGACATTCAAATTCCAATATTATATCATGTAATCCCCTATTTGTGGTACATGTTGTATTTTTATGATGTATACAATTCCTTATGTTAGCAGATGAAAACAACTGGGAATAATTTTTGAAAATAAATAGTTAGATGTCAGTTCATCAATGAGTCTGACATTATAAATTTTAGCGAACTGAACTACTGGTAGATCCACTTTCAGATATTCACACCTTTATTTTGCCCATCCTCGATATTTTAAAGATCTTTCTCCAATACGGTTAGTAACCGAGCTCCTTCACATACTGCATAGAACTAAATATTCTGTTGCTTCTTAACACCAAAAAATACTTCACTCACTAACCATAGGCTTAAGACATATCTTTAATTTATGATATTTAGGCAAGCTTGGTCTTATACATTCTACGAATCTCCCTGTTACTATTTAGGAATGTTTTGATTCATAAAATGGAGGAGAGACAATATGCACCAATTATCGATCACTCAAATAATTAAATAAAGTCGTTTTTCTTTAAAGGTTTCATCCTAGTTACTTACTAACTACGCCTGTTAGCCTTCATAGAACCTAGTTTACCAAAGATGGTTATTTTAAAAAATGTCCTGCACTCTCTTGTCCAGTTCTTGTCGAGTGCTGTGTCGTTTTCCAAAGACTATTAGCCATGTCTTGTAATTTCATTCTCAACTCCTTCTGTGTAGACTAACACTTCAAGTTACATTTTTTTATGAACAACACGACATTAAGAGAGTTTTTATGTTCATTTCACTTGTCATGTGAGACAATTCACGGTAGTGTTTATAAACAATGGTCATTTTCTGGCCAGCTTTTGCCGATTATTATTAAAAGAAAATATGTTTCAACACCGGACCTCAGCATAAATTTTTATTATTGAAAAAATTAATTAATTAACGAAATTTTACACCATATAAGTTGTTGCAAAATTTAAATATTGAAGCATTAATATCTAATGTCGGGTCTCAATATAAAAATAAAAACAAGATTTTCATAAGATCACAACACTGACTGATTTATTGTCTTGATTTGATTAGAAAAATAATAGGTACAATAAATATCCCGATCGATATCGCCATGGTTACATAATTATCTGTAGATCTGCTAGTACGAAGAAAGGCATTCGTCGAGAGACATATTAAACCTGATACCGCACTAGTAATGCCATTCAATGTACCAAAATAACGTATTGGGAATGCAGACAGAAGAAAGCTAATGAAGCAACTGAATAAGAGTGACCTTAATATAACCAAGAATACAAACGATGCATAAGAAGCTATAGGACTAGGTATAAACATCATTGCACTCAGAGCAACAGCAGAGAGAGCCAAAAGACCTTGTCCCGGGACTAGACCAAGTGTTAGAGTATAATACATTTTATCGGGATTCGCTAAATCACGTTCGTTGGTGAGCATGTTCTTAATGCTCGTTCGAGCTCTTTTGAGACAGAAGTCAATCATAAGACCAGTAACTGGTGACAGTAAGAAACTCGACATGAAGAATGCTGAGGAAATACTTAACAAATGATCTGCAGTTGACTTGTCAGAATACGCATCATTTATGTGTTTTGCTAAGTGAGATAGGTAAAATGAGAAACGAAACAAACCCAAAGTAAACCAAAGATTAATCAGTAAGTATGATAAAGAAAAAACACAACTTAATAAAGATGGGTAACGTTTATCCAAAATTGAAGATATTTCTCCATAGATATCCATTTCTCCCGAACTTTCAATTGACGTTTTCTGTTACAAAACAAATATAAGAAAGACGAACAATAATAACCGTCAGTGGTGGGAGAATTGCGTTCATATCTGTATTAGATTCTAAGATTTACTTCGACTTCTAAATCATGCATTTCTGTCAAGTTGAATAGATAATGACAAAATAAAACGGAAAATAATACAATGTCCCATCATAGTTAAAATAAATGGGGAACTGTAGAAGATCAGTAAACTACGATGTGCATGACGAGCAAGATTTTGTTATTAGGAAAAATGGCATTTTATACCTACAATTGAGATCTTCGTGAAAGCGTCTTCCTCTCATCAAAAATCCGTATTCACACTCAATGGGAATGAAAACAAATTGTATATGGTATATATAGCTTGTGACAGATTTCAAACAAACGCGGTCTGAGCAGAATAAGGAGTTCGATGATTGTATTGATTTTGTCGCACATTACAGTTTATTAGAATATGTGAAATGCCTACAAAATTTAAGATTCTGTCGATTACGAAGTCCCATCATCTTCACTTTTAGTGGTTTTGTTATGGATAGTTTCTACTGCAATTGAAACAAGCAGTTTAGTCTATCCTCCACGTGAAATAGCGCACCGATCATTTCATGAAACTATCATTTCGTATGTCATAATATGATAAGTTTGAACTAAATCTACGCAGCACACTTATGTGATTGCACAACTGAGGCTAAACTGACTGGTGTTATTCGTTGAAGTGTTTAGTAGAAGAACACAATTCTAAGTTAAACACTGCAAAAGATAAACATCACTGACAAGGTTTACAACACCGAATGTGATTAGATTTTCAATCTAAATATATTCAGACCGGTTGCCTCAAAAACACAAATCTGTGTTGCTGTCTGCAAATGTAACAATAGTTGATTATCACTTACCTCACATAACTTTTCTTCTTCTGTGTTGATGGAGGAGAATTTCCCCATATCTTCAGATTTCTGAGTAAGGATAAAGAGTGCCACAAAACTGCCAACAACTATTGAGCCGCAAGCCAAAATAATAAACGACCATTTGAATGGGAATACAAGATAGGTCAACGACAACACATAAGCTACAACCGAACTTGAGTCGTACGCTCCAGACAAAAGCGATATACAAAGACCACGAAACTGTGGGAACATGGAACTGACTTGATGATTGCATATCAAGCTGCATATACTACTTAAAGCGACAAGTATACCAGCAGCATAGAATAGTGGCACTGTTTCACCAGTTGTAAATGCAAACATTACGGTACCAGTAAAGTATACTACAGCTGCCAGCAGTTTTAATATTCTCAGCCCCACCTTATCCATCAGTATCCCAGCAAATACAATAAGACACATTTGTGACACCATCCAAACCGTGAAAACGACTCCGAACATATCATAATGATAAGAGCAGCCATTTTCCGTACAGTTGTAAGCGTAGACGCCAACTGATTTGTAGACTGTGATGAGGGAATTGAAGCCGTAGTGATAGCCACCAAAAAGAAAAACATCGAAAATTGCTAGCGCCAATCCGAGCCAACGGCGAATTTTCGGCGGGAAAACATTGTCGAATTTCTGACCTATAATAACGAGATAATTGGAATAACGCTGTGACAGTAATGATCATTTCTAAGTCTTATGTAACCGTATAAGTATAATTGCTGGAGTGAAAAACCTACGTAGATTTTCTAATGGATGAACATAAGCGCTCAATGTGTACACAGTCCCAACTTGAATCAGTAAGAAAGGCTGATACAAACATACAACAGTAATTCGATGTTGACGGTATTTAAGAATGTTTACGAAGCATTTGAACATTGGCGACAAAAGCTTATACGGCCTGAATATCCTCAGTTAGTTAATCTTGTGAAATGTAGGACCTGACACATGTGTGTGAGTCTGTTTAATTCTACATGCCACACAAGAATGGTCAGATAAAATATCATTACGAACATCAGAGTTGTAGAGGCGGTAATAGTGTAAGTAGTGGCAGAAAACACTAGTTGTACATTTGAGATAGTGAGAATGAATTCATGGAACAGATGAGGGATCTCAATAAATGTCTGGAATGTATAAACATCTGCTATATTCATTGATCTTGTTCATCCACTCATGGAGAAGAACAAGGTAGTCGTATTTTTACAAATCGAACACTTGTATTATTCAAAGTCACATGAAACAAAAGTATAGGGTATTCGAAATATATTGTTAATCATTTGGCCTAACTATCTCAGGAGAATAATGGCAAAGGACATTTGATTGACACTGATCGTTTGCTCAGCTTGTGTATCGTATATTGATAGTATTAGGTCAAAATGGCCTGAACATGATTTACAAACGTATGTTTATTGTAAGACTCCAACTCATTAGTCTTTCATCAAAAACTGATATCACTGGTTGTATTAGGATCGTTCAGCAGAGAATGGGTTATGTAATTATAATTAGTTTATAGGAGAAGTCACCTTTATTTTTTTAATGGTCTTTTATAAATCATTCTAGATAAACTCAAAAAGAAATTCAATTTCAGGACATCATACATCCTAGTTACTCTACGTTTACAACTTCATGCTGTTTATTGGATTGTGCCTTACATGTTATCAAATTAACAGCTTAGAGGATGATCAAATCAGCACTTCAACTGCAATGATAATTGATACGGCATGAATATGTCCTAATATGCTACATATATATTTTTGGTGGACCATAATTTATGGACGACCTTTGAGCGACGCTGAAGTGACTTTGAGAGTGAACAACTTCCAATAAGGTTTAAATGATGGTTATAAAGCAGTTGGAATTCTCATTTACAGTTGATGGTTAGGGTTAAAAATTAGATTTAGGGTTTTCATCACGAGTTGACATCAGCTATAGTGTCAAAACTCTATTTAGCCAAATGTATGAATGAATTCTGGGCCAAAATTCATGATTTGTTATCTTATATCTGATTGGTTTGTCCATAAATTATAGTCACTCCATTTTTCTCAGTATATAGAATGTAATTAAAAAATGTATAATTCACAAGTGTTCGTAATTTCTACCAGCAAAATTTGTGAGTTTTTTTCGCTCCACTAAGATTCAGACTTATGGAGCATGTTCCATGTTTTGTTTCTCAATCATTCCAGTATTTCACCAACTAATTTACATTCAAATTCGCACAATACTATCGTGTTATTAAAAAAATTATCGATCGTCTACTATTTCACGAAAGAATATTTACTTTACTGTTAGTTTGGACATAGATAAGACGTATGAAAAATAAGAAGCCGTATTGACTTACACAATTCCATCTTCTGCACTTTGAGGTGGTGTCCTCGTTGTTTTCGTGGTATTTATATTATTAGCATACTTAAACACAACGTTTTCTATTGCCCTTCTTATTCAACATCCAATAACTTTGTGACCATCAAATAATAATTATTTGCTTTAAAAGAATGAAACTCACTATAGAGATTGCGAAACAATGTATATAGACTGCGTCAACCTCACTTTGATCAACAACAATGGTAGAGTTCTCTCAAAGACAGTTAATTAGTTTTTATTGGATTTTACGTCCGTTGTTTTTTATTCCTCTGTTCTGCTCTCTGTTTACGTATTACAGTTTCAGTTCAAAATGATATGAGACTAAGTGGGCTCTTTTTACTACTGCCAGTGTTGTTATTTTTGTTGATACGACTTACTTTTTAGGAGCATCAACACACGGTGCTTCAACACTCCATTCGTCCACGACTAGATGAGGCAGTCGATAGTCAGCTAACATAATATTTGTTCTTGAATGGTGATTTTCTTTGGAGAATTCTCAAACTCTATTTCTCGAAAGACAAGAAAAATAAGGCTAGATTAGATTCATACTTGTCACTCAGTCAATCAGTAACATTTGATTCTTCTATTTGAAAACTTCAAAAGACTTGTTTTAGCTAGCCTATGGTCGAACGGGAGGTCTGTGATTCCAGTAGTCAGCTCAGTTGCGGTTCGTCGAATCTTCTCAAGCAGCCTACTGTCTTCTTTTAAGCACCGGCTAGGCACTCTTGTGCGATGCTATAATTCTGTGCGATAGAACATTCCATACGAAGTCGAAAATAATTCACACCGACATGGGTACATACTTTACGTGCTGTCCATAGGGTTCTAAAACTTTTGGTGGCTTTCTCATGTGCAGGAGTTTTGAGTCTTTGCTGACGATGACTCCGAGATCATTGCGTGTTTAGAAAACAATTAGCTCAATGTTATTCATCGTGTACCTTGGAGACCGATATGCATCTTAATGCGCTTGGAAGCGTTTATTATCAACTGCCAAGTTCTAGGTCATTTTGAATCTCTAAACCATCGCCTACAAATTTTATCACTCACCATCGATGTATAACAAGGCCAATCGTTATAGAAGACTAGGAAGTTTGCAACAACTCAGGTTGATTGATCTGGGATTGACCTCAAACATCCAAGTATATGTTTAAACATTAAACTAGGAGATATAGAGTAGTTCAGCGAAGAGTTCTCTTTTCGGTGAATTCATTTTCAAAGCTGTACAATCTCAAATATATATACTTATTTTTACAGGGTGATAATAACACTGATAATAAACTTCTGTTATACATGGTGACAGTGGGGTTAAATAAACAAAGGTTTTACAAAAATTTTAAAACAAGTAAAGTTTAGTAATCGTTTGATAGGTAATGGCTTAAGTATTTATTGGGTAAGGATGGCTCAGCATGATAAAATGATATGTTGAAACAGAGATCAAATGTAATAGGAATGATCGTGGAAATAAAAACAAACCGGCTAGGGGTAGAAAATTTGAAGGGAAGTTGGAAGGTGAAGCAGATGGCTGTGAGGGAACAAGAGTGTGAAGAAAGAGAAAAATTTCGATACATTAAGACCATGGTAGAAGAAAAGGTTGTACCAGTCTCTTTTGTACACATAATTATGGTTTTTCAAAATGTATGGCTATTGCCTCAGTGATGCAAAGAAGATGCAGTCTAATTGTCTTGAAAAGCTTCCACTTACCTTGTAGATGACTTTGAACGCAGAGTCTGTCTTGATTGAGTGACCTGTGTTCACAAAGTGTTGGATTATAGAACTTCTTATTGATCGGTTGCCTCTTTTTTTAGCCACACCGGAAAATTTTCGTGAATTCTATTGGATAAAGTACGCATCGAACAACCCATATACCTAGCTCCATAAGAGCAGGTAAATTGGTAAATGCACATTGAGTTGGTGAGATGCGATAATTTATCTTTGGGATTATTGGTGAACAGTGATCAGCTGGAGAATAATATTGTCAATGTTGCTGCGAAGGATGTTCTTCTTAAAGAATCCGAAATTCTCCTCTTTAAGATATACGCGGCTCTATCACCTTTGAAGTCGATGTTCATGTATGAAATTTTCTTTTCTACTGTAATTGTTTGTGGTTTTGGCATTTTTGGCTCCATGTTCTTATCAAGGAATAGAGAAGGATATCCGTTCTTGATAAGTATCTCTTTTAAAAGGTTCAATTCTTCCTCTACGCCCTCGGGGCTACAGGTTCTTCGTCTTCTTGTGGCGAGAGTTATTATTAAGTTTCTTTTTTGGCTGATGGGAACCCAACTGTGGAAATTCAATAGTTGGCCATTCCACATGGGTTCCCTGTAGATAGATCTTTCCAAAGTACCATCTTGTTTTCTTGTCATATCTACATCAATGAAGTGAATATTTTGTTTGCTTTCAACTTCAAGTGTGAATTTTATTGATGGGTGAGAATTATTAAATGTCTTTAGGAGATCACTTAAGTTACATTTGTTGTCACAAATGATAAAGATATCATCGACATACCTTTTATAGAAGTGGAGGCTTTATATAATTCTTTTGAGTTGGTTGTTTTCTAAACTGGCCATGAAGCAATCTGCCAGTAATGGATCAAGTGGGGATCCCATTGCTGTACCATCCTTCTGTCAATGAATTACATCGTTGAATGTGAACTGTACATTGCAAGTGAAACGTAGCAATAGTTCCTTCAAATAAACCCCAGGTATCCCAATGTTTATCTCATTATTGTTTATGTACTTACAGAAAAAATTAATGGTCTCTGTGAGTGGAACATTAGTGAATAATGATTCCACATTAAGAGATAGCAAAATTTTGCCACTTACATTCAGTTCTTTTATGTGCTCGATTGTGTGCGATTGTACAGCTTTGAAAATGAATTCTCCGAAAAGAGAACTCTTCGCTGAACTAATCTTTCTTTCTTATTTAATGTCATAATAGGTGTATTCCGTTTATTAAACATT